ATATCTATTATTTAGAGATGTAAAGATTATAAATTAATAAAATATAACAAAAATAAATAGAATTACAATATTTGTGTGTGATAGCGACGGCCTATTCTATGGCCTTACTGTTATCACTAGCCCCACTATTTACCATTACCACCAGTGAAATATATTATCTGAGCAAGTTAAGTTGGTGTCAAAAGTCTTAATTCAACTTTACTTTTTGTATTTTTAAATTCAGGAGTAGTACTTGTTAACCTTTTTTTCATTTTAAGATATTTCTTTATTTTTATTTTATTTTTCAAGGAGATACTGTGATTTTTTTAATTTGTATATCAAGATATAAGTTAAATTTTATTAATTATAATGTTTAAAATTATTAAATTTAATTAAAATAAGATATAAAATATAAAAATAAAATATGTATACTTAAAATTTATAAAAAAAATATAAATTTAATATAAAAATTTATGTAAAATTAATTACAAATACTTAATAATATATATCATAAGCACACAGATTACACAAACTTAATTACAATATATGAAAGAAAAAAAAATCGTTTTTGAATCCCCTCCCAAAATTGCAACAAGTGAAAAAAAAGGTTTGGTGGTTATTATTACTTCTTTTATTTTAGGTATGCCATATTAGGGTTTTTTTTTAATTAAAAATTAATTATTTAATAATATAAAGACGTAAATTTTTAATATTAATTTTTAATTAAAACTTTTAAATTAATAATTATTAATTCAACAAAATCTTTAACCATTCATACGATAAATTACATAATAACAAGTGTCATTCTTTTTTTCAACCTCTATTTAATCCATTCAACATATAAATTTGATAATTTTAATATAAAAACTTAAACTTTTAATCAGCAAAATGTCTTTTTGAAAGGATATCTGCAATTATTACTTTAAATATACTGAACAACACAAAATCAAAGAGTTGGATGATTAAGTTTATTTTCTTCTTGGTTAAATATTTTTTTTGGTCCCTATACTATTAAAAAAATTCTTTTTTGGTTCTTATACTAAAAAAATCTTTTTTTTAATCCTTAAAGTTTTAAATCCGACTATTTTTGTCCATCTGCTAATTTTTACTCACGTGGCACATTATTTTAACGGAAACATTTGACATGAATATTCCACTGTGTAAAGGTGTTTACGAAGACTTAATAACATCATTCCATGTCACTCTTCTTGCACGAACAAAAAACTCCTCAATTCTCCCCCTTTTTTTTTAATTCTCTCTCAAAAAATCATCTTCCTTCTTTCGAAATTTTTCGTTCATAATCAACCTTTTACATGTGAGATTAGTCTAGATAAAATTAAATGAATATTTTCATTGATAAACCCTAACTTCCCCTCTGCAAAACAAATCCTTCTCTTTATTCTTTCCCTAATTTCAAATTCTCAACCCTTTATTCCTTGTTGAATCTAGGTCATGAATGAAGTTTATAGCAACATAAGCATAGCAACATAAATCTATCAACTGTAGTTTCAAACCCCAATATGAAACACGATTTGAGTTTCGTAATGAACCCTGTAGAACCCAGGAATTAGGTTCTTTGAGGAACCCATGATGATGAAAAGGATGGAGAAGGGGATGGCAAAGAGAATGGTGAAGAGGATGAAGAGGATGGTGAAGATAAACAGTGACATGATGATGTCGAGGATGAGGGTGAGGTTGAGGATAAAGATAAAGATGAGGAGAAAGAAGAAGATGAAGAAATTAGAGTTAATTATGTTTAAATTCATTTAATTCATAAATTAAGAAATAAATTTTTAATTTGTACACATGACTCAAAATATTTAAATGAAAAACTTACGTGGATTTATAATTTTATCTACATAATTTTGACGTTATTTATAATATCCTTTATATAAAAAATAATTAAGTAATTCCGTTAATTAATATAACAGCTCAATAAAAATTTAATAAAAGAACCAAAAAGGGGTTGAATTTTAAATTTTAAGGATCAAAAATGAGATTTTTCAATATAAAGACCAAAAAAAATCTTTTCTCAATAGTAAAGGGACGAAAAAGGGCATTTCATCTTTCTTCTAAAATAACAGAGGCAAAGTCATTTACGTTTCCATTACTACCATTCTAATCGAACTCCCTCGGTTGAATCTGAATCATTTTCACATAACCATCGCTTTCACTGTGGGTCCCCAGCCAAAACTGACCGCTCCGATTGCTGTTTTTAATTTTTGATTGATTATCGCTTTTGCAAGTAAATTCTACTTTTGTTGTTCATGCGTTGGAGTTTTAAACATTAACCGACCGGACCGGAAAATTAGGCGCATGCCCACGGCTTATCAGACACTTCTGTCTAACTTAATGACGGATTCAGAGATAATTTTTTATATTATTTAAATAATTAATTTTTATTTAAATTTTATGATATTAAATATATTTATTTATTTAATAATATATAAATATTATATAAAAATTATTATTATATTTTTTATACTAATTTTTTAGTGTTTAAAATTTATATTAAATTTTAATTTATTTAAAATTGAGTTACTTAAATTTTAATTTAGTGAAATTCTTTTGATACTTATTTTTTTATTTATCAAATTTAAATTTAAAACTTTATTTAAGAAAATTGATTTTTTTTTATTTAAATCAGTAGATCATTAGTAAAATTGTTCTTATATTACAGTCCATAAAAAGGCATTGTGCACTTGGTAATAAATGTGCCGAATGGAATGTGGTTATAACAAACACTTAAAATAGTTACCCAACAAAAAAATCATAAAGTATTATCTTTAAAAATATTGAGTTTGTTTAATTTAATTTATAAAAATAATTAATAATTAATAATTAATAGAATTATTTATGTTTATTAATTAATAAATTAATATTTTAAATATTATTTAAGAAAAAAATAATACTAATTTTAAAATGGTGACCATGACCATACCTTGCTTAATTTAAAAAAAAAAATCTAAGTTTTTTAGTTTAAATTATATAAAAAATAAAAATATTTGTAAAATAATATAAACAATTTTAATAAATTTTTTTATGTGTTAATTTGTTAAATGTATTAACTTAATTTCAGTATTTTTATTTTTTTTTACAAGTCTTACTTAAAAAGTCACAACCCGTAAAAAAATGTACTTGTTAAGAAAAAACTAAAGGGAAACTTCTTGGCCCATTGATTTTGGGCTTCGTCTCACTCCTAGGTTAGAAAGCCCAATACACTTTCTAGAAACTGCGAGACTGCGACTACTTTACTCTCTTTCTCAGGAACCAAACATAATCCACCTGAGAAATCGTAGTTCAGTCTCCACCATTCCAACAGCCACGACCAAAACCATGTCTTTAATCCCAATCGGAAACTCCTCCTCTCGAGATTTATGGGATCCGTTCAACGATCTCGAGTTATGGAACCCATTAGTGGGTAATTTCCCTAGCTTATTCTCTACCCATTTCCCTGAATTTTCTCGGCAAATTTTCCCATCCCTGGAAACCCAAATCAGCTGGAACGAGACCCCGAGAGCCCATGTTTTCAGAGCTTACCTTCCGGGGTTCACGAGGGACGAAGTAATGGTTTTCATTGACGACGGGATGCTTCAAATTAGCACAGCAAACGGGAAGTTCGCGAGCAGGTTCAAGTTGCCGGATAATGCCAGGACTAATCAGATTGAGGGTGTTATGGAAAATGGAATGCTGATTGTCACCGTCGGAAAGGAAGAAGCACGGAGGCCTAATAATGTTAGGGTCGTCGAAATCACAGAGTAACCTGTTATGTGTGCGTTTATGTCTTGGTCTATGTCTTTTCTCAGTATGCGTGTGTTTGGACATGCCCATGATGTTAAATACCGCTATATATGTTTACAAAAAGTGTGTTCATGACTTCATGTAGTCGAGTCCATTCCAGAACCATCCCTACTCTGATGTAAAAGGTGTATGCTAGTAAGTTGTTGTTGTTCTTAAATTCATGGGTTTTTGTTGATAATTTGGATCATCTCTTCCAGTCGGAGAGCTGACACAAGATGAATGGCATTACCAGGAATTCAAGTTTGTTATATTGTTTTGGGCAGCAAAGATAGTTCATGCTAGTAAGAAGTGCCATGAGAAATGGCTCCTAGTTCCCAGGCATGATGGCTTAACTCTAGTGTGGGGAAAGGAGAAGACATTAGAGGAATT